TTTTTTTTTTGGTACCAGGGATCGAACTCAGGTCCTTGTGCTTGGGAGGCAGGTGGCAGAACCACTGAGCTAAATCCCCGGCTCTCCTGGGTTCTTTAATGAAAGTTCACAAACAACTCTGGCATCAAGAGAAAAAGGAGAGAGAAAGACTGCAATAATCTCTCTTTTTTTGCCTACCAGATTTGGTTTCTTAACATAGCTTAGTAGAATATAAAATAACCAATATTTCAGAATCACTTTTAATCAGTGATTCCACTATCTTAGAAGTGTAGAACGTATGAAGCAATAGTCCTTCCCTTCTGGAAAATAACCCGTGTGTGTGCCTGACGGAGCTGAAGTGGTCTAGGAGGGCTGCTCCTGAGCCCCAGGATGCTAACAGCAAAGCTCTGGTTTGTAGCCATGGTCTGCTCATCTGTAAAACGGGACCACACTTCTCATGCCTGGGTTTGATGTGAGGGAAAAGGGGTTAACAGACTTCACAGCCCAGTAGCACTGCAAAGACAGCCACGCGGGCTTAGGCTTCCACCAACACTGCTAACATCAGATCACAATACTAAACGTGATTTTATTTTACTAAAGGAAAACTGTGACCTTTATCTTCTTACGAAACAACACAGTGAACTTACAGTAACAGACATCTTTAATGTCTGTTTCTTCTTCCTCATCATCTTCAGCTTTGTCCAGGCACACACCCCTTCCCCTGTCCCAACACAAAAGCGACCAATAGCAACCGGAAAGGAGCTAGGAAGTGCTGCTGACTCCAGGGATGTGCCTCCCCTGTGGATTCCTAGTCCTCTCCAGGGAGACCGCTGGGTCTCTGTGTTCCGCATCCAGAGGAGAGAGGAGGGCCGGGGTTTGTGGGAGAGAAGGCAGAGCAGGGTTTCTTCTTTCATTGTAAAATGTTCCTTATAAAAAAGATGATATATGTACATATATATAAAATATATCCGGTGCAACTGCAATTGTCCTGCCACACACTGGAAGTGCCACCTTGGCGATGTATTTCTGGAGTTTTCAACAGTTGTCTGACAACAGCTGCATTTCAACAGCCTGGGCAGGTGGTTCCCGATCAGCCCCCGCCACTCACTTCGAGGCTGAGGCGTTCACAGTCTGAGGAGAAAGTCCAACTTTGTCAGGAGTGGGTGTTGTGAGGCGGAGGGGTGGAGCGAGCCCGAGGCTGGGCCTGAGGGAGAAGGAAGTGGCTTCTTCACACTTCTCTACACAGTTGTGCTGCAGATACAGGGAATCTGAGGGGACCGACATCAGGAGTGCTGTGATCACACTACACAATGACATACTTCACATCAGCATAAAAATACTCATTCGGAAAGGTCTTTCTTTCCCCCATTCCAAGAATCTGACGACACCTATCACCTGACTGAGCAACTTCACCAGATACTTCCAGTGATTTGGCCAAAGTCATTCAACAGGTGCAGAGTCTCTGGGTCTGTCCCTTTGACAGAGGAGATTAATTCTGGATGACATTTCTGTACATGTGGTTTTTGGTTTTCCCAGAACACCAAGAAGTTTGAAGTCTCTGCCTTCCCGGAGCCTCCAGGCTGTTGGAAGGACAGGAAAGGGGAAACCTGGCCAGCGATCAGCTCAGAAGGGGTGTACCACAGAGCGAGTAGCGGCGAGCTGCAAACCAAGATCAGAAGCTGTTACAAACCCACTGCACATCACTCTGGGTGCCACTACGTGCACTGCGCAGACACCTAGGGGAGAAGCGGGCTGTCTAAAACCAGTACAGATCCTTGCTTTTGTCCTGAAGCTGCAAACCTGGAAACAAAGATAAAAGGGACAGAGGAAGAGAGAGACAAAGGGAGAGGAGGAGAGAGGGGGGTAGAAGGGGTGGGAGGGAGGGCACAAGATATTTAAGGAAAGAGAGAGACAAACACCCCTGTCCTGCTGTCAAAGTACAGTAATGGGTGACTGTGTGAACGACAATAAAAGCAAAGCAACCCAAAGTCAAATCTGCACCTGAAGTAGGGGTGTGGTGACCACTCATTTATCAGAATTATTTTTTCCTTTACCTTAAAAATAAAGCACATAAAACAGCGGCACGTCTCAGAATATACCACTCAAATTCAACTCTTGAAGCCAGAGACTGAGCACTTAGCGCATGACTGTTAAAGCCATATTCTTTAAATTTCACATCTGAGAGGCCTATTTAGTTTGGCAATAAAGCTGATACAAGAAGCCCATGAAGGTCCCTGGTGAGTCCAGAAGTCACAGAGAACTTTAAACAGACTCAGCGGGGCTGTGGGTCAGCGCTATCCCCATAGAGGTTTAATTTAAATTTTCCGATGCCGCACTGAAAAACCGTAAAAGGAAACCGGTGAAAAATTAGGCAATACATTTTAACCCAGTAAATTACACGTGAGGTGGACCTGTGGTCTGGGAGCCCCTAAGCATCATCTTGTGTCACCCTCCTCACCTATGGGCTCAGCGGCCAGAGGACAGGACAGGACAGCGCAGCGCTAGACGTTTTACACTACAATTCATCTTCTGAAAAAGCCCTCCGGAGCCCTCAGGGGCCTGGCGGGTGCTGCTTTGGTAGCAGCTGCGTCTGGCAGGGGCCAGGTCCGCTGGCACTGCCGCCCACGCGCCGCCCCTCCGTCCCCTCACCCCGCTTACCTGCG